TTAGACATACAATTGATACTGGAGATCATACCCCCATTAAACAGACTCCTCGAAGAATTCCAATACATCGAAAAGACGAAGTACGAAAATTAATTACGGAAATGAAAGATCAAGGAGTTATTGAAAAATCATGTAGTTCTTGGACTTCTCCCGTTGTTCTTGTAAAAAAGAAGGATGGTTCGACGAGATTCTGTATTGATTATCGCCAACTTAATAATATAACCAAGAAAGTTAAGATGCTGTCGCACGTTCTTCTTGGTTTTCAACTTTAGATTTACAAAGTTGTTATTGGCAGATTGAGGTTGAAGAGAAAGATCGTGAGAAAACAGCATTTTCTATTGGAGAAGGTTTATGGCAATTTAAAGACATGTCTTTTGGTTTGTGTAATGCCCCTGCTACTTTTGAAAGATTAATGGACAATGTTTTAAAAGATTTGACATGGAAGAAATGCCTCGTCTATTTAGATGATATAATTATTTTTGGAAAGACGTTTAAAGAAGAATTAGAAAATTTCCGTTCGGTGTTCTCTATGTTACAAAAAGCAAATCTTCTGATTAGCCCAAAGAAATGTTCTTTCTTTCAGAAAGAAGTAAAATATTTGGGACATATTGTGTCCAAAGATGGTATTAAAACAAATCCAGAAAAGATTTCTTCGATCAAAGACTGGCCAAGACCAAAAAATAAGTCGGACGTTAAAAGTTTTCTAGGATTATGTACTTATTTTTCACGGTTTGTCAAAAATTTTTCTGCCATTGCTAGACCTTTGTATGATTTGACAGAAAATAAGAAATTTGTTTGGACAAGCAGTTCAGAAGAAGCTTTCGAAAAATTGAAGAATTGTTTAACTTCGACTCCGATTTTAGCTTTTCCTTCTCCACATGAATCTTTTATCTTAGATACAGATGCTTCAAATATTGGTATAGGAGCAGTTTTATCTCAAGTACAAGATAATATTGAAAGAGTAGTTGCGTATTTCAATAAATCTTTGAATAAGGTAGAAAAGAATTATTGCATTACTAGACGAGAATTATTAGCAATTATAAAGGCTATAGAACATTTTCATCGTTATTTATATGGAAGGAAATTTATAGTACGAACAGATCATGCAGCTTTGAGGTGGTTACTATCGTTTAAAAACCCAGAGGGTCAAATAGCAAGGTGGATTGAACGTCTTCAACAATATGATTTTGAGATCGTACATCGAAACGGAAAATTTCATTCTAATGCTGATGCGTTGTCTAGAAGACCTTGTTTAGAAATTAGTTGTAAACATTGTGTTAATGTTGAGAATAAAGAGAAACTATCACAAGTTGAAGAGATTACAGTTTTTCGTACACAATGTGAATTGTTTGATGTTCAGGATTGGATCTCTTCTCAAGAGAAAGATCCTAATTTAAAACTAATATTGAGTAGTAAAATGTCTGATAAAAAGCCTTCTAAAGAGTCTTTATCACCTTTGTCACCAGAAATTAAATTTTATTTTTCTATTTGGGATTCTCTTCAGATTAAGAATGGACTTTTATATAAAAAGTGGGAATCTTCTGATGGACGGAAAATAATTTGGCAACTTATCGTACCAATGGATAAAAAGGATATGATTCTTCAGGAAGCTCATAACTCTCTTTCAGGAGGTCATTTCGGCGTGAATAAAACATTAGCTAAGATTAGGAATCGATTTTACTGGGTTAATTGTATTAGGGATGTAGAAGAATGGTGTAATTATTGTAATGTTTGTATATCTAGGAAAGGACCACGTGACCGAGGAAAAGGGTTACTACAAATTTATAATGTCGGTTTTCCTTTTGAACGAGTAGCTATGGATATTTTAGGACCCCTTCCTAGATCATTTTCGGGAAATCGTTTCATGTTAGTCGTTTCTGATTATTTTACGCGTTGGCCCGAAATAATTCCTCTACCTAACTATCAAACAAAAACAGTTGCTGAGGCCTTTATCACACATATAGTGAGTCGTCATGGAGTCCCTCAAGAAATTCATTCTGATCAAGGCCGTAAGTTCGAATCAAATATTTTTAAAGAAGTTATGGTTTTATTAGGCATTAGAAAAACTAGAACGACTCCATTACATCCTCAATCAGACGGTCTAGTAGAAAGATTAAATAGAACTATTTTACAGTATCTTTCAATGTTTGTTTCGGATCATCAAAGAGATTGGGATGAATTAGTTCCTTTGTTTCTCTTGGCTTACAGATCGGCCCAACATGAAACTTTAAAATTATCTCCATCTATGATGTTATATGGTCGAGAGATTTCTTTACCTTTGGATTTATCTAAAGGAAGGCTCCCAAGTGACTATACGAATAATTTGGATAATTTTACTTATAACTTGAAGGATAGGATGGATTCTATTCATAGATTTATTCGAACACGGTTAAAAATTTCATCACAAAGAATGAAACAGTATTGTCGCGTCGCGAATTGTTTCGTTATCGATCTTACGGTTGTAAGCCGTATTCGCGACTTCGCTGCGTTACTCGCCAATTTAATTTTAAGTAACTGTTTCGAATTCTGGTTGCTGAAGGAGTCACATTGTTAATAGATTGAGTGATGTTGTGTACAGGATTCGTAGGAATCCAAGAAGCAAATATAAAGTAGTTCATGTTAACAGGTTAGCAGAATATAAGACAAAATGTTGAATGGGTGAATGTTTATAAATAATTAGTTACATTATAAAGAGTTAGGTAGTTAGGATTCCCCACTTCGTTTCGCAGGCTCGGCGGAAGGATGGAAGGGAATGGGTGTCGAAGCGTTCTGCTACGAAGATGTGTCATTGATCCTAGCTTTGTGCAGGATGGAAATGACCGGGGAACTTTAGAAGTATGAATGTAAGTGTACATACTCCCCGCATTCTATCTGAGTGTTTGAATTAATATATTATTAATCCCGTTATTCTTCAGTCTGAAACCAGTGCCGTCGGTAAACTAAGCCGAAAGAGAAAGAAGGTCGGCAGACGAAACACCGCCTAAGTTTAGTAAGGTTCTCATCAATTCTATTTGTTGTTTAGTTACTACGCTTACAATACAAGGTGGTATAGCAGAGAGAGGGGAACGCATGTATCTCTTGGGCAGTCTCGTCACTTCTTGCGCAAACACGTTGTGTATGATTCGTCGATCAACGTTGGCATAGCAAGTAGTAAGGGCTATTTCAAATTTCATATATAGGGAAAAAATTCAGATTTTTAGTGTAGTGACAATAAGTAGAAACAAAATGCTGTGAACAGACGCATTCGTTAAGTCCGATTTAATTGCACACCTATTTAAATTCGATTATCTCGGAAACGAAGCATCATACGAAAAAATATTAATTATACAGTTAATTATTTTAAATTGTTCGTGTCAATACAAAAATTGTTTTTCTTGTTGACGATTACGACAAAAAATGTATTCCAAGTGTTTTTTAAATGCTAAATCCATTTTAACAACGAATTTAAATTTACGGGGCCACCTAAAGAGTATGGTATGTAATTTAGCTGGTCGAAATCGAAACAGTAACACATATGTGTAAGAAGTCACGGAACCGACTCTCAAGATTCATAGACTCAATCATCTGCTATGTCACACTGTGTTATTAGGAAAGTAACGAATAGGAAATATTATCGGGAAACTAGATTAAGGTCTGCGATTTTTTAACAAGAATAATACAACGATTTTTGAGGAAATACGCTCAAACGAGTGTTAAACCAGCCGGCGGATATATGTACCGAATAACATATATGGAGAACGACAACGATCTTCTAAATAAAGTCCCTTATATTTATTAGGTTGATGCATATGAATCATCGTTTTTACAAAGTTCGAATTTGCCGGACCAATAACATCCATTAAATTTTTTTCCGATCCTGTATAGTTTTAAAGCATATCAACGAAGAAGAAATACGCTGAATTACACGTCCTTTAAATACTGAGAAGATTTATAATAGAAATATTAAAACCTTATTATCAGCAGTCATGAATAATCAGAATGTTGTGATTCTTTATGTGAGTTTAAACTTAGAACAAGTGTCGTAAACGTTGCTGAAAACATAAATGTAGCTTCTGGAGAAGGTTATGTTAATGTCGGGACAGTTCAATCTTGATTCGTGAAATTCAATGTTGGTGATTTCTTGGTAGAAAATGAATCAAGATGAAGATCAGAAAATGCCATCGATAATAATGTTTCAAGAGATATTGTCGAAAATAGTCCACGACAGAGAAAAAGAGAAATAGCGTTTAAATAGCGTTGAGGAAATTACGTGTTGTTAAAGTTTCATTTGTGAAAACGACATTTCACACGCACCAAACCAATAGTTTGGGGAGAAACGATTCGTTCAACCGTGTTGTTAAAATATTATTTGTTTATTTGGATGGATGCTCATTGAATAACCTACGTCATATACAGCGTGGGGCAATATATTACCACCTCAGATGTCTTTGAAACTAACAAGGAAAGGACTCCATACGTATATCACAGATTTGGTTCAAACTCTTTTCACTTAAAGTATAGACTATGCACAAACCAACCCTAATGGGGTTTCACCACATACGCCTTCGTTGTTGAGAAAATTAACAATAAACATTTTGGAGGCGGAAGATAAGTCATAATTTGAAACCCTGAATACAACAGCGGTGTAATCGAGGTGGTTAAAGCGAGTATCTTGCAATCCGGATCTCGGCAGTTTGACTCCCGCCTTATCATACTATTGGGTTAGCAAGAAAGTAATTTCGGTTTTGTAGTGTGAAGTAAAACTCATTTTTTTTATACAAAGAATAAACTTTAATCAATTATATATTTTCCATTTTGTTCAATGACCTTTTGCCATCTTTCTTGCAGCTTCGTGATTCCGCGCTCATAGAATTTCTGGTCCTTATCAGCAAAAAACTGAACCAAGTGCGACTTAAGGTCATCATCATTTGTAAAAGTTTTACCATTCAAAGAGTTTTGCAAACTTCGAAATAAATGGTAATCAGATGGTGCCATATCAGGGCTGTATGGGGGATGCGACATCACTTCCCAACCAAGCTCCAATTCCCACGAGTTACTAAAGATGTGTGAGGCCTTGCATTATCATGGTGGAACACAATTCCTTTGCGATTTGCCAATTCTGGCCGTTTTTCTTTTATTGCTTCATCCAGTTTCAATAGTTGTTGACAGTAAACATCTGAATTGATCGTCTGGTTTCTTGGAAGCAACTCAAAATACACAACACCTTTGTAGTCCCACCAAATTGACAACATGACCTTTTTTTGATGCAATTCAGCTTTAGATGTGGATTGTGCTGGTTCATCACGCTTGGACCATGATCGTTTTCGAATAATGTTACTGTACATGACCCATTTTTCATCACCAGTGATGATACGTTTCAAAAAAGGATCGGCTTCATTGCGCTTGAGATGAATATCGCAAATATTGATTCGTTGTGTTAAGTGAATCTCTTTCAATATATGCGGAACCCAAATATCGAGCTTCTTAGCGAATCCAAGACATTTTAAGTGATTTTCAATTGTTGTATGCGATACATTTAACCCCTCTGCAATCTCTCGAACAGTTATGTGACGATCCTCTTCAATTATGGCTTTGATTTGGTCATCATCAACTTCAGTAGGTCGACCAGAACGTTGGTCATCTTTGAGTGAAAAATCTCCAGAACGGAATTTTTTAAACCAATTCTGACACGTGCGATCTGTTATGCAATCAACACCATAAACTTCACATATCTCTTTGTGGGCCTCAGCAGCTTTCTTTCCTTTACGAAAATAAAAGAGTAAAATATGCCGAAAATGTTCGTTTTTGCACTCCATGTTAAAATTGACCCTGAACTAACAGCTACAAACAAAAATTAGCACAACTTGCTTCTGAAGTAATCTAAATGTGACTGATATCAAATGTCAAAAGGAAAAAACCATAACGCAGACAGGAGTCCTTCAAAACGCTTACAACGCTATCTATGTGTCACAACCGAAAATACTTTCTTGCCAACCCAATATAAAGCCACACGCATACCTACACGCATACCCATGTACCACTCACGAATTACATACTTTTACATAACATAAACATTATATACTTTACATAAATATGTTACGTACGGAGACACTCTCGTGACCTCTTAACCCTATCGGGAGTTGGAATGCATCTGGCCAGATTACGTAATTGCCCGCGGGGTGTTATGGCGTGGCCAGATGTTCTTGGAAAGCAGTTTCCGTTGAGAACAGGCGTGTCCCCCACTATTTTTAGACTCGATTTTCGGGATATAAAAAGGGACGCGTACAGCTCATCCGCGGATCATACTCATATTAGAAGTCTAGCTAGTGAGATCGGGTATTAAAGTCCTTGTCAAGCATTTCTAAGAGTAAGCTAAGCTCTGCATAACAAATCCCCGCTTTTCTCAGTGCGTGAAAACCGAGTGTTGAGACGAGCCTATGTTAAGGCCATCGTAATTTAATTTATGTTACGGTAAATTAAGAAATGTCATTTTGAGAGTCGACTGATGCCTTTTTCTTAAATTTATTGTTTAGGACTCAAGTACGGCAGGAGACTTCCTGGGAAAGTTGACATGACCGTACCGCTATCGATGGCACTTGACGTAGCGTAAACCTAGCTACGAATTGCGTAAGGCCCGGAGTTCGATATTTGGGAACAAGGGTCCTCTGTGTACCCATCCTGGCGCTACCCTTGTTATTCCGCTGACTCCACGTTGTCTGGCGCATCCCCTCTTTTGGGTTTGGAGGCGTTGCGTGGGCTGCGAACGCGCCCTAGCAGATAGATTTACTCGAAGTTTTCGGAGGGAGATAAATGTGAAAGATGAAAATATCGTCGACGCTATGAGTGAAACGCCACGATTACAAAAAGTAACTTTTACTCATCGGATAATTCCCGTTGAATAAATTTATTTAATCGACGCTCGTCGATAAAGTTACATTTTTGTTCAAGCTTTGAGTAATGATAAAAGATAAAGTATCTTTTATTCAAATAGTTATTTAAATAATTTTTTATCTAGATAATGCCCATCTCTGCTTCGCGGGAGTATTACGCAATGTTATGGTGGTACGTATACAATAACGGATATGCGGGTGTTGCTGTGCAAGTGTTTGGTTACGTAAAAGATCTGAAAAATTGAAAACAATCGGCCCTTTCCGGGGCCACGAATTTTCCTAACGTAGGAACAACACGTTGGATTAAAAATACATTAAGTGATTTTGTCGGGTGATCAGTGTTAGTGGTCGTGCAGTGAAGTGAGTACGTATTCGATGGAATACCCAGGACGTACTTGACGTTACAACCCTAAACTTCGGCTGGTGAGGTATACCTGCGATCACCTGCGAACTGGGCGATACCCTGCCATAAACCGTTTCGGCCGTCGATGACCAGGATCGGTTCAGTGACCTGGCGACAGGTTTGCAAGCTGCATGTGAATTTCCGAAAGGGTGAGTTCATAACTATTATTTTTTTAATTTAACGCAAGCTACATATGACTTTTTCCCGGCAATAATTCTGCAAGTTTCCATACCTACAATTTTCTTCGGTCTTCTTAAAGACAATTATTCGTAATCAGTATCATTGTTGCCCGTTACTGAACTACGGATTTTTATGTCAATAACGAACTACGATCACTATTACATTACGTTTTCGTTAATACATTATTTGAGAAGGAAATTTACAAATTCCTTAGTCTCTATCTTTAAATAATTATTATTTTCGATTCTGTTTAAAAACATAATTGTGTATTCGTCTTTTTACGTTAGACATGATTTTCTTACATTTATGTTTCATTCATTCATCACTTTAAATGACAAACGAAAGATGATAAAAAGTTCGATTTGTTACGTTTTTCATATTTGCTATTATATGCGGTTTCCTGGGATGCATGCCGATTTGCTTGTTCGGAGCTTCATAGTACAAGCGTAGCGCGTAGACACCGCTAGCGCGGGAACACGGCTGGCAAACTCGCGCTCTGATTGGTCGGGGTTTTTCGTTAATATCTCGTTAACAAAGCCTCAGATAACATTTTCGCTAAGGAAAAAGTTGTTTCAAATCATCCCAGCAACCCCTCATTTCCGGGAAGAGAGACATTTTTGAGACACCCTGTATATCTATTCTGTGTGTCCAACATATTTTACCCATAAATAAATGAAATGTAATTTTATAAATGTTTTTTTACTTCAGAATAATTTCAACGGAACAGTAATAAATATAAATCACATAAGAAGTAAAATGACATAATATATGTGGAAAAAAAACCCAACAAGGTAGGCGGGATCGACCTTCTGATATCCGGATTGCGAGATACTCGCTTTAACCGCCTCGGCTACACCGCTATTGTATTCAGTGTTTCAAATTATGAGTTATCTTCCGCCTCCAAAATGTTTATTGTTAATTTTCTTAACAACGAAGGCCTATGTGGCGAAAGTCCACTAGGGTTTGTTTGTGCATAGTCTATACTTTAAGTGAGAAGAGTTTGAACCACATCTGCGATATACATTTGGAGTCCTCTCCTTGTAAATATCTGTTTATCCAAAATTGCACAGTACAAAGAGAGTCATCCGATGGCGCTAATAGTTTTTTTTGCAAGTAGAAATACTTTGGATATTTCAAGGTCACCCCCAATTTTTTTAAATGGATCGATGTATTTTCCCCGTAGAATGATAGCGGAGTTTAAGTTCAACAATTCAACGACCTACGTAGTACATAAAATCATAGTAGGTATTCGAAATAATGACCATCACTATCAATGCAACACTGGATTCTTTTTATGACTGATTGACGTGCAACTCTTATAACGTCAGAACTTATTGACACACAGGCTGCAATAATTCGCTGTTGCACGGCTTGACGTGTATTTGCTACTTCTTTGTACACTTTATCTTGCAATGTTCCCCATAGAAAGAAATCTAGAGGCGTCAAGTCTGATGAATGAGCTGGCCACGATATTGGACCGTCGCCGAGTCCAATCCAACGATTTTGAAATTTTTCATGGAGTTCCCTCCATGCAATCAATGAATAATGTGCTGGGCATCCATCATGTTGAGACCACATGGTTTGTCGTGTAAATAAAGACAATTCTTCTAGCAAAGGACCCAATGTATCCTTAATAAAATTAGCGTAGATGTTTCCATTCAAATTTCCATTGATAAAATGAGAACCAATAATTTTATCACCTGTGATACCGGCGACCGGTCACGTTATGCGCCTTGGGGACCTGGAGGAAATTCTGCTGTGTTGCCAAACCTCCGCCATGGGTCTCACTCCCGCCAAGACACACCCCTGTTCCCAAGGCAGCGCGCTAAGGGCGCAAGGAATAGGTGGCGTGATGGGTCTATTAGGAGGAAGCGCCTGATTGGTTAATGCCTACGCGCTACGTTACCCAATTAGGATAATTTCCGGTTTTTGCGAGCTTCCAGAAAAAACGAAGCGTCGTGGAAGCTCACTAATTTTTCCGACAACGACACAAGAGTAGTTCCTGATCGAATCTTGTACGTACAGATTACGAATAAAGACGTATCTGAATTACTGTGTAGATTATTTACACACAACATAGTACCCTTCAGAAGTGACCTTGACATATCCAAAGTACATCCACCTGCAGAAAAATTAGCGCCATCGGATGGCTCTCTTCGTACTGTGCAAGTTTGGTTAAACAAATTTTTCTGTTAACCATATATTTTCAAAGATATCTGAGGTGGTAATAGTTATTGCCCCACCCTGTATATATGTATACATATACATATACATACCTATATCTGGTATTTTGTAACAATACGTAGAAAGTATAGTCACCTGTATTCGGGCTTCTGGCAGACCGATTTTTCCGGCTAGTCTCTCTCTGGCGAAAACATCCGGGTAATGTGTTCTTTCGAATTCCTTTTCAGATCGTCATCGGTGCCTCCGGATACACTTCCAGCGTTGCTGTTGTCGCCGCCGCTGTTCGTTTCGTCTGAGTGTGCACCACCTTCGAGTTCTGCCACTGTAAAACAAACAGAACATTATAAATATTTTTAAAAAATACAACACTGAACAACAAAGGTATCCTTTCAGCGGAATTTTTTTTCATTTTTTGGTAATCGACGTATTTGTTAGAATGAAATCTTTTCTATTTTCACATTCCTATTGTACGAATACCATTGTATTGTATATCTGATCATCTCATTCATGCGAAGAAAATTTTCTGTCTACATCTCGATGTTACTGCGCAGTAACGTTCTGCTGAATCTTCGACCTATTGGAACGCTACACATGTTTATCAACTATGTTTGTACGACCTTTAATGATTTTTACGAACTTATTGTTATAGGTCGTTTAATTCATCTTTACGGTACCGACAAAAAATGTAGCATTTCATTTTAAAGAAACAGAGTCAATCTTCGTATTTCATTACTCCCTCCCAACAAAATAAAACTACTGTCTCTAGACGTCGACCCCCACAAAGTTGCATAACTTTGCGGGCAACATTTTCATCAAAATTTAAATATAGCAGAATTAATTTAAGCGATAAACTTATATGAAGCAGCTTGTATCACATCAGACTGAGTTATCCTCGCAATTACATGCACATATTATGTCTATAAAGTCTGTGTTTGACTTACCTAAGTCTGCGATGTATTTGACTGTGATGTATTTGAAATTAATATAAAATCTGAACTTATGTGTACAGCAACATTTATAAAGCTTCATGGCGACGATTTTAATCTGACCGATCAATGTGGCTATTAAAAAAAATTATTGCTTATATTCTATAGTAATGTGCATTGATCAGTTTCAGAAATACGGATTGTACTCCTGGCAGACTATATCACAATTCTAAATCTCTTATACACACATAAGACGATTTTACAGCTGAATGTATGGATACTCGATTATCGAGAATGGACATTATTTTCCCGCCAACTTAACAATTGGATATTTTGGAGAGTTAACTATATAAATAATAAAAATTAAGATGACAGAAGAACAGAAACGATAAAAAGTTTAAATTTTCATAAAATTCTCAAGATATTTGTCGAAGTGTCGGTACTTGAATCA